TATATATATATATATATATATATATATATATATATATATATATATATATATATATATATATATATATATATATATATATATAAACGAGGCGACGTTGCCCTACGTGGGAGAAGAAAAAGGTGACATCACCTTTTATAAAAAAAAAAAAAAAAAATATATATATATATATATATATATATATATATATATACCGAGCGGTATACCGTTCGGTATACCGCTCGATATACAGTATCATACCGTACCGAGCGAATGTTGAAATTCTAGTACGGTACGATATTTCAATCCTTGGTATTATCATAGTTAATTAAACCCTAATTAGTTCTTTCACCGTTATAAATATGTCAAACGCCCTAATAGGTATTAAAGACATTGAATTAACCTAATATCGAATTTTTGATTAAATCATCATTAAAACCACTAATCATAGTATTAAAAAACTTAATTAAACTCTAATTAACTTTATTTTACTATTATAAATGTGTCAAAAACCCTAAGAAGCATTAAATATATAATTTTGATCCCATATAGGTCAAATTACAATGAAATCATCATTAGATACACTAATCACACCATTAACATAGTTAATTACTCACTAATTATTTCTTTTTTATCACTATAAATATGTCAAATACTCTAATAGACATTAAATACATTTAATTGACCCAACATGGGTCAAATTTCAATATCGTCGTAATTAAATGCACTAATCACAGTATTAACATAGTTAATTAATTCCTAATTAATATTCTTTCATCGTTATAAACATGTCAAACACCCTAATAGGTATTAAAAACAGTTAATTGACCCAATATCGGTCAAATTTTGATTGAATCATCATTAAAACTACTGATCACAACATTAAAAAACTTAATTAAAACCTAATTAAACCTATTATACCATCACAAACATATGTTCCAATCCTTAATATGCATAAAATATAAAAATTTTATATATTAAGTATCTAATTTGGAAAAAAGAATAATATTAAGCACACTAATCACGACATTAAAGACCTTAATTACTCCCTAATTAATACTATTCTATCATAAAAAACATACATATTAGACATTAAGTCATATACCACATAGAATAGAACAGGTTTAATCATCTTATAAATCAATAAAATTCTAGAAAGAAAATGCATACCTCTTAATTAAAGTGCTCTTCTTCTTAATCCCCTCAAATTAACCTTCTAAATTTGATCCAATCCATAAATCGTAGCTTTATTGAGTTTAGGAGAATGAAAATGTGAGAATAATAGAGATATGAGTGAAAAAAGTTTGAGAGATTGAAATGGGTTGAAAGAGAGGGAGGAAAGGATTTAGAAACCCTTTTCTAAGCCTCAAACAATCAAATTGACCATTTGAAATAGAACAATCTCAGCCTTTGATTGATAATGGTCAAAATTCGACTATTATCGACTGGTACAAGTTGGTAATGATCGGATCTCGTCTGTTACTGCTTGATACATGTTGGTAATGGTCGGATTTTGATCATTACCGCCTAATACAAGTCGGTAATGGTTGAAATCCGAGCGTATCGATCGGTACAAGTCGATAATGGTTAGATTTTGATCGTCATTGCTCGGTACAAACTCTGTATCGCCCGATACGGGGTCAAGTGACTGGTATTGCCCGATAGAGGGCGGTCCGCATACTAGTATACTATCGGACCAGTATGTACCTTCCATACTAGGTGGTACGCATCGGTATAACAAACCCTGCTTTACATGATTTCTTTTTTCACCAGAACATTACTTGATAACCGTGTTTTAATCCAGTGTGTGATATTCATTTATTTAAGTGTGTGATGTTATTCGTTTTAAGTTATGCTTTGTAACTATATATACAGTTTGATGCAATAATGGAACACCTTAGAAATTTCCATGTTACTTTAGGTGTTACACCAAGTTGGTTTCACTAATTTTTTGTCTGCTCTTCTTGTATTAGATGTATGGTCATTTTAATCCATGAGTAAAATCTAAAAGTGGTTGGTTATCTGGAACAGGTTCCACTGTGCCATGTATCTGACTCTATTTATAAGATCTCAGCTGACTGGATTGCTGAGAAATCCCCCGAATGTGTGGGTGACTTTATTTTGTGGTGTTTGGATGGCATCATTTCTGACATGGCAAGTCAACAAGCAACCGTTAAGGGATCAAAGAGACATGTACCACAGGCTCCTTCAAAAGCTCAGGTAACATTCAGCTACATGTTTTACCATCTTTTTTTTTCTTGCGCGTAAAGTTTTCCTGGTAGAATGTGTGAGCGAAAAAGTTGCTCTATGAATATAGTTCTTTTGCAAAATAATTCACACAGAATGCAAAATAATCTATCGAGGAGATTTTGTTTTGATTTCAGTCCATCATGCAAATTAGAATCTTCAACACTTTTTTGATATTCATGTTTAACTTTGTTCCAAAATTGTTTAGTTAGAACGCTTAGGAATATCTTCATTTTTTGTTTTCTCTCACTTTTGTTTTCGCTATCACCGTCTCTCATCGGTAGAGTCAATGCCACATCAAGAGACTGCTAGCAAGTGCCTTTCTCTCCCTCCCTTTATATTTTCTTTGTTACTTTTTCTCCATGTATTTCCTTCTTTCTCTTCTACCCTGCTCTAAACTATTCTATCTTGTCTTGCCCTCTCTCTGGTGTGGTGGCCTGTGTTTATCAGTTAGGAGGCTGCCACAATGACCAAGGGCTGCACTTGCAACATGCTGGTGTCAGCAGTGTCATTGGCCAGTTGCAGCAACATAGATGTCATATGCAAAGTTCCATAACAAATAAATATAATTGAAATAAGCATATATAATAAATAATAATCACAATGAGTAAATGTTCTCAACATAGCATAGGCCTTTATAGTAAGCCTCACCATGTACATGATGAAAATCAAGAGTGATGCTGCTATGCCACACTTTGGCATGAGTTGCTGACAGGAAATGTACATATGGTGGTAGGTTGTAGACTATGGGGCAGTGTGCCTTTGGATGTATGTCACATCCAGAAATCATGCCTAAAGTTGGGCACCAAGTTGTGTCATGCAGCATCTCTAGATGAACAGTGGGAAGATCCCTATGGTTCTGAGTATTGTAAGCCACCTATTTTATCAAATTGTCTGACCTTGATAATCTAAACCTTTATAATTTAGCAACCCACCCCAGAGCCCTTATTGTATTTTCTGGACTTCACTTTTACAATCAGTTGGAGAATTGAAGTCCAGAGGTGCAGAATTGCAATGCTTGGACTAAAGATTTATAAAAGGGCATTGAGACGGTCATGAGGTCATCCTATATCACGAGTCAGATGTAAAGACCATTGAGTGTGCTCAAGCCCACAGCTCACAAAGGGGTCATTTTTCATATTGGTGGGGAAAATAGGGAACTTGTGAAAGATGGGATCAAACCCCACAAGGGTAGAGATATTCTATCATCCAAGATGAGGGATGGTTGCCATTTTTTTTAATAAAAAATGGCAGGTAGGGGTTGAAAATCGAGTGCAGGTACCACTGGACTCAGTGTCGATCCGTAAACTTGATTTAAGAGGATTTACTTTTGTTATTCATGCACAACTTTTACAAAGTCACCACACTGAATCACTGACGTTTGTTTGGTTAGGGCTGTTGGTTTTGGGTTTAAGTTGACCAGATTAAAACCATCAATATAAGGGATGAAAAATTATCGTGTTCATGAGTTACCAAATGAATTGTGCACATTTTTTGTGTAGGAGTTTTTGAGAGAGCACGAGGCTCTGTTTTCTCCCCCACTTAGTTGATGAGTCTTATTTTCTATTATAGTCATCATACATGACAGCCATCTGCAGGTTGCAATATTTGTTGTTCTGGCAATGGCCTTAAGACGGAAGCCTGATATACTAATTAGCCTTTTGCCAAAAATAAGGGACAATCCCAAATATCAAGGGCAAGAGAAACTCCCAATTATAGTGTGGGCCATTGCTCAGGTAATGTTACCACTGTCTCTTCTTTGCTGTTTGAATTAAGGAAGCAACAATTTAGCAGGAGTATTGCTGTTTTGCTGATTGATATCCTCTTTTTGTAGTCTTCTCAGGGTGACACAGTTATTGGAATGTATCTATGGGCACATTACCTATTACCTATGGTTTGTGGAAAATCTAGTGTGAATCCACAATCAAGGGACTTGGTTTTGCAATTGGTTGAAAGGTTTGCTGCGTGGCAGAGTTAGCCTGGTAAAGAAAATATGGTGTTTTTTCTGCTAAAATCTAGAATTTTGGTTGTGTTATTTGCAGACTTCTTTCAGGACCAAAAGCTCGACCTATTTTACTCAATGGTGCTGTCAGAAAGGGAGAACGTCTAATTCCTCCTGTTGCACTTGATTTGCTTATGCGCAATGCATTTCCTGCTTCAACCGCTCGTGTCAAGGTGTGTGTTCCTTTTTTATTGAATAGTGCCATCATCTTCGACAATTGAGACTAGCATTATTCCTGGAACAGGCTACTGAGAGGTTTGAGGCCATATATCCTACTTTGAAGGAACTGGCTCTTGCTGGTTCTCCTGGGACCAAAACCACAAAACAAGCATCACAGCAGCTCTTGCCTCTTACAATCCAGGCAATCCAAGAAAGTATGCCTGATAAATAAATGTGCTGTTCATATATTCTGTCTGGTCCTCTTTGGTTCATATATTCTGTTTGATACTTTTGGGTCTGGTAATAGTTGTACTTATGAATGTCACCTAATTATAGGTAATTCAGAGTTAACAAAAGAAGCAACGGATATATTCATCTGGTGTTTGATACAAAATGCTGAATGTTACAGGCAGTGGGTGAGCGGTTCTGAGACAACTTGGAACCTTTCCTGTTTCTCTTTTATAATTGGAACACCTAATCTAATTGCTTTATTTGATGTATGTTGAAATTTGGATATCAGGAAAAACTTCACCTGGAGAATGTTGATGCAAGTGTTGCTGTTCTTAGGAAGCTGACGAATGAATGGAAGGATTACGCAGACAAAATCTCCTTGGGTACCCTTAGGGAGACAATCAATCACTTAAGGGCTAAGGTACATAACTTTGTAATTGGTTTGTCATTGGTTTGATTTCTTTTAGTTGGATCAGAGACCATATTTTCTGCTAGATAAATGATCAATTTTGGGTGTTGAAATTGGCTATCATGGACTTGGTAATATTTAAATATGCTTAGATATTAGAATTTGGGATATGTCCTCAATAAATTGATTAAAGGTCCTTTATTCTGCTATACAGAACGAAGAGGCCCTATCTGGGGATGTGGGCATCAGCAAACAAGCATCCATCAAAGATGCCGACAAGTACTGCAAGGTCGTCTTGAGAAAGTCAGCAAGTCGCTCTTGTTTTACGAAGTTTGGTGTTGTGCTCATGCTTATGATTGCAATTTGCTTTTCTCTCTTCCCAAATATGAAATTATTGGCATGGAAGAAACTCAATTCGGTGTTTCAGTTCCAATGACATCCGAAACAATCTCTAGCTTAACCTTTATCAACTGAAAAGAGCAGAGTAGGAGTTTTAGAAAGATGTTATTCTCTCTTAGTGGTTCTCGTATGCCATTTATTTTCTTGAAAATGATGTTACTGAAAAATATTGTTGAGATAAGGAGTGTTTGGTGGATCATTTTGGAATGTTTTAGGTCAACTGAAATGGTAGAAGCATGACTTTGTGGTGTAATTTATTGACCTTGCTAGACATTATGACAGTCTATATTTGATGGTTTTCTTCTACTTCCAGTTGCAGCCGCTTACCTCGTCTTGGTGGAATGGTGAGTGTTGAAACTATTCAGTGCTTAATTGTTCTTATCTCTTATGCCTTCCCTAATTCTTTCACCATTTGGTTTTCTATAGGGTCCTTATTCCTAACCCACTATCCTATTGTGAATTCTTTTTGACTGCCGGAATGACGGCTTGGGTTGCTTCACAACAAGGAATGCCGAGCGTCGATCAGATGCCCAGTGATCTACAGTGAGGTTATTCGTCTTGCTTCTCCGACTGAATGCATCAAATAAACTGCTAAAGCGGCTTCTTTTTTCTTCTTCTGAGTCTGTTGGTTTTTTTTATGGTACGAATGTGCGTGTTATAGCTTTCTCGCTCACTCTCTTGGGTACTTGTTGGCAGTCGTAAATAAGGCAGACGATAATACCGTTCGCCTGCCATCTCACGAACACGGCACGACTTGTTAGTGGTCAATGATCTGGCAGTGGACCATTGATGCTGCGAATAGCAGTGGCTGGACCAGTGATCGGGCGAGTCACATTCTATCGTCCCCGGGCCGCCAGTGGAGCGGCTCCATGTAAACCATCCAAGTGGTCGATTACCGAGCCCAACGAGTCGTTGGGTGCCGATTGCGTCTCCGCCATGGCCAGTCAGTCGTCTCTCTCTTCTGCCAGTGCTCGCTCCACTTCTCCCGATCCGTGTGTGGTTTCTGAGTCGTCATCAATCAAAAGGGCGAGGAACACAATAGGAAAGCCTCCCTCGCTATCTCCCTCACATGATGTTTTTCGCTTATTTAAGCTGGCCCAGGAGATGAGATGGGGAGGTCCCTCATCGTGCTACTGCTCTTTCCGTTGCTCTCCATAGGAAATGTCCCCTCTCCTCTGCTGCCCCTGCAGCACCCTCGTCTCTCCCCGCCTGCCGTCGCCCTCTTGGGTACCATCGCATCCCTCTTCCTCCTTTCTTGTTGTTTCACATGAGTAATTCACCTGTCACGTAACTTTCCTTTCCTGAGATTTGTGTAGCTGTTGGATTGAATTTGCCCCGATTTTTCATCCGTGTAGGCAACACTGCCGAGGATTTCTATCACCAGAGTGCAGAGATATGTTGGTTCAAGCATGAACAGTGATGCCCTCAAGGTTGTACCTCTCCGCAGCAAGCAACAACTTCACTGGAGTTTCATTGGAGGGTCGAGAATCCAACACGAGCCGAGTGGTTCAAGGATTGTTCGTCGTCAAAGAGGGTTTCGGCCGTCAGCTTCTTGTAATTCTCTCGCCCTCTTGACCTATTAATTTTTAATGGTTGTCGAGCTTAACCAGATGTGTGTACTTCGAAGCTGTGTGGCTTGGCTGACTGTGACTGACGGTATTCGTGAAATGTAGTGAATGAACATACCTTGGACTGCTCTAGAAGGATTATAGCAACAACATTTTGGAAAGAAGAACATCATTGTGGACAGTAATAATAATTTATGATTTATTCTTTTGGTGCATGATGAACTTCTAGACGAAATGAATGGTCATAAGTTCTGTGAACTTCAGGAAACTAATTCTTGCATAAAGTCATGCCCTCATTTAGTTGATATTGAATCAGACAAATCTTACCATTTATGTAATATTGAATTTTCTTTTCAATATGCTACTTGCTATGTTTGCCTAATGCCAAATCGTCTTTTTGACCTAATTTCTTCTTCTTTTGTTGATTGAATTGCTGTAATGGTAACATTGCATTGTGCAATTTTCACATAAATCTTAAGAAATATTTCTCACTTTCTTTTGTCTAATTAATATTGAAATTTTCACCTAATTTCTTCTTTTGATGATTGAATTGCTGTCATGATAACATTGCATTGTGCAATTTTCACATAAATCTTAAGAAATATTTCTCACACTTCTTTTGTTGCTTGATGATATAATCTAATTAATATTGAATTTTCTTTTCAAGATGCTACTTGCTATGTTTGCCTAATGCCAAATTGTCTTTTTCACCTAATTTCTTCTTTTGATGATTGAATTGCTGTCACGATAACATTGCATTGTGCAATTTTCACATAAATCTTAAGAAATATTTCTCACACTTCTTTTGTCGCTTGATGATCTAATCTAACTAAAGCATGATTAGACACATTAATTGAAGTCAAGATGAATGCTATATAATTTGGTTGGTGTTATTAGATTTCATCTTATGCACAATTGTTGAATAGTTCATTGGTGCAGATGATGGCTACATGATACTAGAACATTTCTCCATTTTAACCATATTTTCGTTGATGTTCATTAGGATTTTGCCAAGCATGCATAATTTTAATATTTTATAGATTTATTTGAAACATTTTCCAAGTTTGTTTTTGGTTGAGCATGTGAGTGTAGAACATGTTTATGTATTGATGGCTTCTACGTTTTTGTTGCAACTCTCATATCCTGGTTACATATGATTATTCTTTTCCAAGAATGTCACTATTCCAAAGTTACTGACTAATTTTTTGTACTTTTGTATTCTTTTTGTAAATGTTTGTAAGAAAATAATGCGTTTCCTAGTGGTCTTTAACTCAGGCTGAAGTTCTTGCTAATTCTGTTCAAACTTACAGAATATAGTGATTTAAATCTCTGTGTAACAATGCTAGTAGGTACTATAGTTAATATGCCTAGTTGGCTTGATTACATTCCAGATATCATTTATGCTAGATTTTAAAGTATCCTTCTAAAGAAATTCCTCGTGATAGGGCTTACAAGTTCACAGATTGCTAGCAATGCTTTCACTTGGGGCACGGTTGCTGTTCTTCCTTTCTACACTTTGATGGTACTGGCTCCTAAAGCTTCATTTGTAAGTACAGTTTTTGCAGAATTTGTAGTGAATAATACTTCAAATTGGTCAGTACATGAGCATGTTAGCATAAGTGCAAGCATAATAGCATCTGATGCCTATAATTTGTTTTTTGTTTTTTCAATATGACAATGTACAGACTAGAAGAACCATGGAGAGCAGTGTGCCATACATTGCCCTTGGAGTTCTATATGCATACCTTCTGTATCTGTCATGGACTCCTGACACATTTAGAATGATGTTTGCTAGTAAATACTGGCTGCCAGAGGTTTGCGCTTGGATTAAAGCTATGATGGTTAGTATTTTTCTATGTTCTGTGATCTAATATGTCTTATTGTAACGTCTTCAGTTAGCTGGAATAGCAAAAATGTTCACCAATGAATTGACGGTGGCTTCAGCATGGATTCACTTATTGGCTGTAGACCTTTTCGCTGCAAGGTCCTACCTCAAACCCTTATTCTCCTTTTTTGAGTTTGTTACTGCAGTGAAAGAAAATGATGTATTTCCATGAAGCAAGCATTGGTTTCACAGGTTTTTATTTGGTTGAGCAATATTCCAAAATTTTACAAAATTTTACCAGAATTGATCAATAACAGTTGAATTGCTCATGAGTTTTACAATTTGTTCCTGAATACTTATGTATTATTTTGAAAAACTACGATACGTTTTTCGGATAATTTTTCATTTTCAAATTATCTAGAACCATGTATATTTGTTTATTTATTCACAACTTTCTACAATTGATTCCAGAATCAATTGAATATCTTTTAAGAAAATTAGCTTAATAGTGCTCTTGCTTCTCGTCAACTCTAATGACAGATCTGTGACCATGTTGTTCGGAGGTGAAACAACGTGATACCTTCGTGTCTTTCATATTTATCTGCACCGTATCATCCATGTGCTCCATATAACAATTATTATCTGTGCTTTTGTTCAGGCAGGTATTCCACGACGGTTTAAAGAAAAATGTCGAGACCCGACACTCAGTTTCTTTGTGCCTACTCTTCTGTCCGATGGGAATTTTTTCTCATTGCATCACCATGCTGCTTGCCCAGATGGCTAATCGGTCGCATTGATGCTTAACGGCAGAAAAGTGCCAGCTTGATCTCCAATTTTTTCTGCTTCTGAGAAAGAGAGAGAACAGAAACCAAGATAATCCTCTCCTGTCACATTCATTTAGGTCAAACTAACGCAATCAGATATAGTTGTTAGTTTTCTGTCATAGACTATGGTTGCATAGTCCATGTATCTCATTTAGAAAATATGGTCGAACAACAAAGTTTCATGGTGAAAATGTTTAATTTGAACTTCTTTATGAGCATGTTTGATCCAGTGCTTCTGCAAACTAATTCTTAGACTCCTGCTTCAGTGTCTGATATGTCAATATGGATCATCTAGTGAATATGTTTATCATCTGGTAAGCTTGTTCTAGTAAACAGCTATTTGTGCTGCAAGTTAATCTTAGTTTGGATCTTATTTGACAGCAGCTATATTTTTCTCAGAGAAACTCTGGTGGAGCTCCTCCATTCTCATAAGATATCATCCTCAGCTTTAGAGATCAAAGGAACAGGTGATGCGTTCATCAAATTTTACTACATTTGTGTCCTGTGAGATACATATTTAACCTCCTCTTTAAGTTCTATCTGAAACTTCTTATCCACACTTTCTTTTACATGGCTAATTAGCGCTAACATATCTTGCGAGGTCGAACCATTGAAGTTGACGAAGAAATTTGCATGAACGTTGGAAACCTTCGCACCTCCCACGGCGAAACCTTTGAGTCCTGCCAACTCAATCAGCCTTCCCGCTGACATTTCTGCACCCGAAGGGTTACGAAACACCGATCCAGCACTACGTTCTCCGATCGGTTGAGTTCTTCTACGCCTACAGTTTGACATTTGGAACTGGTCCGGCTGTAAGAGATGATAGACAACTGGGTCTTGGAACTGAGTTCTTGTTCTTACCTCTCCAGGAACGCCCTCTGACGCTCTGTTGCCGCGGTGCTGGGCGTCAATCGAAACGTGACCGCTACGATCGCAGCTAAATCCTTCATGTCTTGGAACGCAGACCAACGATACCCGAACGCCAGCTCCGACCTCCTCAGCACCTGCAACTCTCCGTCCATCGTCACGATCTCCACACTGTCCACCACGTCTCCCGTCTCCTGCCGCAGGATGATTGGATTAGGCTCGTTTCGGAAATGGGTCATTTCGTCGAACAACAGAGGTTCAAGAATCTCGATGAAGGGTCGATCACCTGGCAGTCGGCACCGGCATTCATGAACACGGCTCCACCAACTGTTCCCGGAATGCCGCCGGCGAATTCAAGGCCTGAGAAACCCTCGGCGGAGCATCGCACTCCGAGCCGGTTGAAGTGGAAGCCGCTTCCGACCCTGTAAACACCCGGTTCTGTCAACTCGAGCTGGTCCACCCGGTTGAGCATGACGAAGCCGTCGAAGCCGCGGTCGTCGAAGAGGCAATTAGAGCCTCTGCCGAGGACCAGGAACGGAATGCACCTCTCCCTGCAGTACCTGCAAGAGGGGGAAAAGTGAGTTCTCGACGAGCCACCCACCGCCCTGCACATCCTGTTCGATGAAATGTCCACTCACCGAACGGCGGCGACGAGCTGGGAAGCTCCCGAGGTTCGGAGGAAGTAGCGGCATGGGCCGCCGATGCCCCAGCTGCTGAGCTCCCTTAGGCACTTGCGATCGCAAAGGATGCAGTTCTCGATGAGTGGTTGGCCTTGTCGGTGACCGAGAACCACCAAAGATTGTGACTTCTTGCGGTGGGGAGACGGTTCTCCACCGGAGGGACAAGTGAGGAAGTGGTGATGGTGGGAGACGGAAGAAGTGGTTGGAACGCGAGAAGAGCCACAGGGGTTGGTCTTAAGGGTCGGCGATGAGAAGGGAGACGGTAACGCCATGCTTCTCAACCTCTCGTACTGTCTTTGAAGCCTAATATCAAATAGTAGACCCAATAACATGGGCTTTAGGCGCTCTTCTATGATGCCAAGGATATCAAATGAGCAATTTCATTTCATTAGAGATCATGGAGAATTGCCTTCATTTATACTTAGAATTCCGTGGTTTCAACAAGAAACCTACACACTCTCGTAGAGATTAAGTTTTCGTCGTTGCACTTTTGCTTCTTTTCCATAATGCAATCGAGCAGCGAATTGAGATACTTGGAATGCTCGGAGCAAAAACAATTGCCAGTGTTATATATAAATTGCACTGGTATCATAATCGAAGAGAGACTCCCAAATCTAAGGGTTTGATGCTGGGAGATCACTTTTATAAGATAACAAGTGGCAGCATATCTTGGGGATTTGTTTAGCGTTGGACATGAAGGGGATAGCCGCCACCTACATGATGGTGGCTATGGAACAACTTTAACTTCATTTACTCACAAAAAGAACATATTCAGTTGTACTGAATTCATTTTGAGTTGTTTACGGAACATATTGTCTATGTTACCGATTAATACTGATCTCAATCTTCATACAGGTGATATCTCAAGATGATATTTTCATCTCGAAAGCATAGTATTTTCACCTCAAAAATATATTGAACATTTCTATGCACACAAGTCTATCAATATATCAATAATATATATATATCATAAATATATATATATATTATATCTAATTTATATCAGATGAATTTATAAAAAATAACTAATTTAAATTTAATAAATTAATTATCTCATCAAATTGGATCATCACACAATCATTCTTACTCAGCAAGAGCAAACATACATCTAAAGCAACAGTCTGATACCTTGGTACTGTTATTATGCTGTGGATTGGAGCAGAGAGAGAGAGAGAGAGAGAGCAAAATAATTGAGATCCGTTGATGTAAGGTTGATGCGAGTCTTTCATGAATGATGAATAGATACCCATTCATCAACTTGATAGCTATCAGCATACAACTTGTTGACGAATGAACCATGATGACTCCATAATTGAAGATAAGGTTGCGATGGTATGAGACACCAGTCTACATTGCGAGTCCCACCACCACTGTAACATACGACTGTTAGCTATTTTTGCTGATCCTGACAATGGAAATCATCGCGACTATTTTGCTCCATTGCTTGTCCCTTGTGAGTTCAGTTTCTTCACCGCACGGCAAGTCTGATGCTTTGCCACACCTATCTCCACCATGCCATGGAATCCTATATATTCCACAGCAACAGCTTACCTTGTCCTACCGATAAAGCTGGCACTGTACACCTTTTCTTTCTCGTATCACACACGTTTGGATCATGAACTCATGATGCCGTCGTACACAGCCTGCCAATCGCTGCGAGCTCCAACAAGCGTGGCGGTGGTGGAGTTGTGCCTCACGGTCTCTTCTCGGTTGTGACTCGTATGACTAATCGACCACTTTATGGTTCTTACATTTTGCTTGCTTGTTGGCGAACAAGGGTTGCAACCAACATGGATACATACGTTAATCTATTTGTCGGTTGTCCCAAATCTATTGCATTTGATCCTCTAACATTGACACAACATCATGTTGTTACCATATATATGCGTATAATTCAATGTTCAAACATCAAACCATTAAGGTAAATCTAAGAGAAGAGATCGATAGGAAGGAGATGTAGGAATGGAAGGCGCAGGAGTTCGTTCTTGGTATACTATATAGAGTGCTATCCTGTGAACAGCCGAGTCACGACCCCGTGGGTGCCAGTCTGAGCTGCAGGTCCAAGCCAAACGAGTCGCCCGATTTCGCCGAGTCGGCATCGGCAGCGACCGGAGCGGTGACAGGGAACCTCCCAAACGAGTTCGCGCTCTCCTCGGAGATCCGTGGGCCACTACCGGCGGCGGAGTATAAGAATGCAGAGGGGTGAACCGGCTGGCTCCGGAGGGCCGACGAGAAGGGGAAGGCGCATGCACGAGACGCGTGGAACGTCGGAGCCGCCCGGGAGAAGTACTCCCACCCGGCGGAGCCTGGGTTTCTGCGGAGCGGCAGCACGAAAGTCGGAGGCCAGAAGCAGCCTCCGAGGTGGTCGTGCTGCTGCTGCAGCATCATCTGGGCGCGCTTCAGCTGCTGCCGCTCCTTCTTGTGCGCGTTCTGGTGGCCGCCTAAGGCCTGCGAGTTGGCAAACTCGCGGTAGCAGTACTGGCACTCGTACTTCCGCCCGTCTGCGCAGTCGCCTCCGCCGGGGGAGGTGGCAGTCACCGTCGTGGTCGTCGACGAGGAAGAAGAATCAGACCTGAGCCCGGTCTCCTCTTCCTCTGACACGTGGAACCCGAACAGCTTCAGCCCCGAGCTACTGCTGCTCTTCTTGGACGTGCTCTTGACGCCTGACATATTTGGATCTCTCTCTCTCTCTCTCTCTCTCTCTCTGAAGAGTGCACAGAGCGAGAACGAGTATTGCGACAGAGAAAGAGGTTTGCTTTGGTTTGCCTCTAAGATGAGCTCAGATCTCTTTATATACGTCAATAAGGATGGTTTAACTTTCGGATACAGCGAGTATTATAAGATCAGGAAAGGAAAGCAGTAATAACGCCAAAGACCATACTGAGACAAGAGTAGAAGTGGGTGGAGAGAAATATATCCATGGATACATAATATTTACAGACACGCCATAGACCGTAGTGAGAGAAAGAGTCGAAGTGGGTGAAGTCAAAAATGCTTTACAGTCTGTACAAACTTCAATGGTGATACCAATAATACGGCCGCAGAGATCTACCAACGATGCTTGGTTGTGTTCATCACTGGGTTTTGAAGGAGTTCAAGAATGAGTATTTGCTATATACTACTGCTTGTGGGGACAGTGATGTCGAGATCCGTGGTTGAGGAACCACAAACTGGTGCGAGAAATCAAAGGCTGCTTGCTACATGAACTCCATTAATGAGGTAAGACTCACACCGCTTGCACTTCCTACCTAGAAGCATAGATGGGAGACCTCGGAAAAGATTCGAGCAACTTTAAGTTCAATCATAGATTTGGTAAACCGAATTCTTTTGACAAGAAGGAGGAGAAGAATATTAGGTTAGAGGCGAACTTCCAACCCACGCTCGGCACTGCTTATTGAGTTATCTTCATCTGCCGCCATGGACGTGAACCTCGTGTTGCACATGTAATCTTCTCCGTCGAGGAGAATCCTTCTTACCTCACAAAGCTACCCTTGAATCTTGCTGACCATACACACAAGCTTTCCATCATCGTCTTCTCCTCTACTCCCAACCCTTCCCTCCCACCAGTGAACAGATACATGCGAGTGCAAACAAAAGCTACTCCTCCACTCGAACACATTCAGCTACAGAATTTGAATTCCCAAACCCTCTGATCATTGCCAAGAATCCTCGCTGTAGGTTTCTGCTGGGGAACATGAATGATGGGTGTGGGTAATGATGACACCTATCATTCGCAAAAAGAAAGGGTATCTTCAACATGATTGTAATTAATTGTATTGAGATTAGACATTAAGGCCCCATCTGCTGTCTCAACTCCTCCCATCTATCTAGGTAGTCTCGAGTCCCGCCACGAGAAGTGCTTGAGTTGACCCTTTTAGATATCTGTCATGTTACCATCTACCAATACTGATCTTAGATTCTCTCCTTGGATTCAGCATAGTGAACCTGATCAAATCACCTGCTGACATCAAGGCCCTCTTCTCCATGTCCTTCTCTATCATGCTATGAGTCTTCTTATCCAATAAAGCGAGTAACTTTATAGAACCTACACCTCTACTGTTCTTTCCGGAGACCTGTGTGATCAAACATGTCCAACAGAAAGCTGCAAGTTTGGGGTGGAATGCGTTATGCTTTTTGGAGATTGGTAGGTAACAAAGCAATAAAAGCTTTTGCATGATGTTTCGGCTAATCTGCATCTTCATATGGAGGAAAGGTAACGTCCTCATCTGCCTCTCTGGGGTCGCTTGGAGCAGTTGAAGACAGTCATGAAAACACTCAGTGAGCATCCATTTCACTGCTCTCCTTTGCTTTCTGGATTGGGAGAGCATGTTGCTGATGACGTAGAAGATTCTGGTAATCCCAGTCGAGGTGTAGCTGCCTGCTGATGCAACTGAGAAGAAATCTTGTGCCAGATGTATACCTAACAAAAGATGAACTCATCCATTTTCTCTCGACCGATGATGGATCGTCTGCAACACATGCCTGTACTGTACTTTCGGATTAGCTTCGGAAGAGAGGAGGAGAGAAAGTAGTATGTTAGGTTACGATCAATCATAGGACAGACGTGGACGTCGAAAGATGGTTGACAGTCCAAGCAATGTGTGGGAGGGAGGGACGAGCCTTCATTTTTCCAAGTGAGATGACCTAATTCCACCAACAAAAGTGAGTTTGTGCGTAGATGTGTTTGAGCTCAAGTCATTCTACAGGCACAGTTGGCCTATAAATTCGAAGACACAGACAGCATTTGCGCGAGTCTTCAGTGACAAAATAAATTGACAGGTGGATGCACAAATGGACGTTCTTAAAAAGAGTAGATATAGGCATATGCTCGCTGAAACCGAATTACATTATATATTTATAATTAGAAAACAGAGAAAATATTATTTTTATTAGATTATATGATTTTTATCTAATTAGTAAAATATATTATAGATCTGATTAGATTCTGATAATAATTATCGATAAAATTTAAGATTTTTTAGAAGATCATTTTGATGAGAGGAACTCTCCTAATTATATACTAGATCCACTGCTATTCCTTATAAAAAGTTAAGATCTCGTAAGGATGATATATTAATAATTATGATTATAAATATTTTGAATCTGCATTAATTCATCGCTCGTAGCGATCAAATATGAATTAAAAAAAATTATATATAGTTCTTCTTGTAATATCATTGTGGTTTTCGAATCCGATGATGATGTACTTGTAGGTCAAATAAAGACTTTTTGAATGACATCAAAAAGGTGCACATCGTAAATTTAATATATCGTTATTTGATTTTAATTTTTAATATTAAAATTCTTCGCATAATATTCCTCTTTGCATTTCATTTTTTTTTGTGCTGAATAAATGAAGATGCAGTATTTTTTTCTTTTTTTATAAATGATGGAGATAAGATTTGATTCAATATTATTATTAACCATCGAGAAATTGATCAGCTAAATTTTTTGATAAACTTTTTTCCATTAAAATTCGGTGGTTAAATGCTTAATAAATAAAGGACGAATTATTAATAGTGTTTGGATTTATTTTCCCGAGAGTGCAATTGTTTTGGTTTTTGCCTGTGGAGAACTTTCTCTTTTCATTTTGTTCTTCTTGTCTTTTCTTGGTTGACTCTTAGATTTGGTTCCTGTATTTGGTTCAACTGGACCGATTCTTAACCCGTTCGACCGGCCCAACAGAGAACCGACCGCAAAGAACGACGAGGGAAAATGAAAAAAAGAAAGAAATAAAGAAAGAAAGAATTGAGATTTTAATTTAATAACTAATGTCACTCCATCCGAAAAAGA